TTAAGTGCCCAATTTGCTTTCTTGGCAACACATGGTAAAGTTTCAATAGCATTGAACAGGAAGTCTCTATAAATTGAAAATATCAAATTAAAAAGATTAAAATTAGATGAAAATTTTAATGATTGAAACAACATGACGAATCCATACCTTTGTGTAGGATCACTTATATATGTGTCAATAAGTAGAGAATACATTTCTGAGTGAATGTTCTCAATGGCCACCTGGAAGCCATAGAAACAGCGAGCTTCAGTGATCTGTACTTCCTGGCTAAAACGCTCAACAAGGTTCTCATTGACAATACCATCAGAGGCAGCAAAGAATGCTAAGACATGGGAGATGAAATGCTTTTCATTGTCATTTAGTTTTTTCCAGTGATCTAAGTCCTATAATAAATATGAAAATATCAGATAGTTACGTAAATTTCAAACTTATGTATGCAATTACAAAAATATTATGCTCTGTTGCATTACCTTAGATAGATCAACTTCATCAACAGTCCAAAATGAAGCTTCAGCTTTCTTATACATTTGCCAAATATCTGGCCACTGGATTGGAAAGACAACAAATCGTCTGGGATTTTCTTTCAACAATGGTTCTAATTCAGGATCAAAGATGTCTGCTGAATCTTTGAAGTCAATTTTCTTTGCAGTTTTAGCATTAAGCTCACCCTGTAAAATTAAAATCATTAAGAAAGTTCCAATTTATAATGAAATTCTAATTATCTTTAATATATATTATTTACATTATTCTTAGCTCCATTTTGATAAGTTATTGTTGGAGATAGACACTGCTTTTTGGGAGACAACTGAAATTTAAAAAATAAAACAAATATTAAAACTAATAAAAAATCAAAATAATGTTAACTATAATTGCAATTTAAATAATTACTAAATATCTGTTTATTAATTTGAAACAAAAATTAGTTTTACAACAAAGAAGACTACTAAAATATTTAATATTGCAATGTATATTGTACGTATTAAAAGTAGTATCAGGATGAAAAAAAAAATTGATGACAACTCACAAAACACTTTTATTTCTAATACTTACTGTCCATGGATAGCTCATACTAATTATTTCCTGACAACAACAAAAATCTAACTGCCATCCACACTTTAAAAAAAGTTACTTGGAACATATTTCAGCTGAGGTTAGTATTACACGGAGCAGCGTCTGACTAAATAAATAGCCAGTGGAGTGTTGAAATTGGAAACACTCATTGTTGGATCTGATTACTCTTTCTTGCTATATCAAGACTTGAATTTAATAGCAATAAATGCTATAAAAACAATCACTGATTTAAAGTTTTAAAATTTTTTGAATTCAATATTAATCTAACCAAAATATAAATAAAACATTATTATTGTTGGACTTGAAACTCTAGCCATCAGTTTGATGACACATAAATTATTTCCATGATTTAGAAGCAATGAAATGTTGATTAAAGATCAAAATCAATTTTTTATTTAAAAAATACAACTGTCAAACAATGAGGAATATTTAATATCCCCTACTATTTTGATCAATATATCTATAAATGTGCTTGCAGTATATACAGATATAGCAGTGATTGAACTAACTATATCTATATGTATTTTGATTTACTGTTTTAATGGCTATGCACTTTCTGTTGGGAGTTTAATCAAATGTAAAATTTCAGAGTAGAGTAAAGTAAAACTGTAATTTTGCTGGTACAAGATTATATATATTTTTTTAAATTAAGCAATTTTGTAAACTCAAGTTTTGATAATAACTTGTTTTATTTTTATATGAAAAATGCAATTTAATTAATTAAGCAAGAAAAGGTATTAGTCACTATTGTGGGTTTTAGTAGAAAAATACAAAGCAAAATTGTCATTAACGAGGCAAAAGCTCAATATGTGTAATAGTGTTATTAAGAAATCTAAGTATAGCTTTTCTTATCTCTTCGATATGCTGTGTAAAAGCGCGTAATAATTTCCAATGCAAAATTACGAGAAAACGTCATTGAAATTTGCAAAAAGATTTATTGAGTGATAGAATAAAAAATAATTGTTTATAATACTTTTGCGAATAATTGATTAGTTTAGAAAGGCACGATCTTTATCAATTATTTTTAGAAACATTTTGAATTTTATTATGCTCGAATGTAAGACGTTTATGCGAAAATTTATTTTGTATGTGTTCAATAAAAGAATTCAAACTCGAGCATGATCACGAACGGCTTATCGAATTCCGTTGAAAGAATAGCGTAAAAAAACAGAGCGAAAGCAGCGCAAAAGCGCGGGCGTCAAGAGAGCCGATTCCCGCCTTTCTGACTCAAGAACATTTGCGTGACGATTTTGTAACTTACCGCCTTTATTCAGCGTAGCATTTCGAGCTTCTTTTTTTTTATTTTTGGAGTTTCGAGTACTTTAAGATGCGGAGCTATATCCGTTTGTGTTCATGATTGCCTAATTAGATTACATAATTACCGAAAAAACAATCATCGTCGTCAGATGAGCATAGCACAAGATGATATTGGTTAACGAATAATCATAAAAGAAAAATGGTTATTTGTTTGATTATTATTGTTTAGAAAGATAAGTCTATGTAGATGACCTATGATAATTTCATGCTGATGTTTCAGGTAGGTTATAATCCGTCAATAACAATCACGAGTCATGGTAGATTATTAAGATCAGTATAAATAATACCGTGTTTACATATTTGAACAATAAAATTAATGGAATATGATCTAGCAATATTCTATGTAAATGTCTTACAATAACAAGAAATCTATTGTTACTTCAATTCATATATCAAAAAAATTCTCAATAAAAATAAAATTGATTATTCAATTGGTACACAAATTTTCTTCAACTTATTATTCAATAAACTTTAAGGAAATTCCGGAAGTAATGCGAAAATAGTTCACATCCGTTTGCGCGGCCACTGACCATCGTCCATGACTCGGAAAACTAAATAATCATGAATGAAAAACTTACTCCATTCTTGATCGAGATAGATTCAAAGCTCTGGTAGAGGACGTTTTCTTTGGTGGAAACCTTCAAAGCCATGTCTGTTTAAGTTTTCTTTATACAAACGAAGGATCAAAATCCAGTCTTAAACGCGCGAGCTGCTAACGAGGAATGAAACGCCAAACCAGCTCAAATGTGAGAGGCTCAAGTCCGCACCTGCAAGTCTCCCCCTTCAACTGTTCAAAGATAAATATATGACAGCGAGCCAATCGGCTGCTTCTAGTTTGCCGCCAAAATCGCAGATAGGTGGTTGTTTCGGAGGGTTTTCTTTGAATGAAGATCAAGGGCGACCGTGTAGAGATTGAAGTCTCTTGTTGGGCCTTATGCACGAAGGGAGAGTTTCTTAGAAAATTTGGGATTGAAGTCAAAATCCGGTTGGCGCGCTTTGCCGCCAGTTTGCGCGCCTGTTTTGAAGTCAGCGGACGCGTATGTGACACCGGGAACCGTCAGTTAGAGGATATTTGTTCAGATATTTTGAGACTTACTTTTTGAAAAATGACGAATTTCGCGTTCAAAGTCGAACAGAAAGCTTTCGCTATTAGGATGGCTTGACTTTATTTCAAGATAAATTTGTTCCAAGATAAAAAATTTCAAATTTTCGATCGAAGTGTTGACAAACGTAACGAGTCAACCTACAAACAGGATGAGTTCGGCTAGCCGCGTAATTTAGTGAAAAAAGTGTTGGTGCCTATGTGAGGCTATTATCTCTACGCGACAAACTTTCCGTTTCTCTTTCATTCTTGAATGTTTTTAAGTTAGAGCGAGACACATGTAAAAAGAACTGGAAGTTTCGAGATTCACTGCATGAAGTGTCTTTTTTTCCTGCGATTATTATCATAATTTTTGCTGTAGTTAGTTCTGCTAACGTTTACGAAATTTGAGTTGCCATTGCGAAACTTTAGATTGGCGTTATTTAATGTAAAATAATTTTTGTTTTTATAATTGGAGATGGAATTATGCGGAAAAGCAAGTTCTCATCGTCATTGGAGTAACGTCTATGATTATTCTAGAAAATTAGATTGAGTGTTGCCAAAATCTCTGAAATATACGTTCTTTTTGATTCCAAAATAAATTTTATAGTCTTTTGTATTAATAAAAGTGACTTTTAAGTTATGATTGATCGAATAAAAAAATAATTCTTGTTCGCCTGTTACTTTGTTTAATTAAAATGAGAATAACAATATCTAATAACTAACTATTAATAATGAAAAGTAAATTTCCATTGATCCAACGGGCAGTAAGTACGTGTATTGAATAGTTCATCGTTGGTGAATGATCATGTATGCGAGGTGCACACGTGCGTTTCGAGTAAATTGTGGCTTGCTGTCTACAACATCAGCTGCTCGACAGCCGTTTCATTCATTATTGTTTTACACTTCTGCAGGTGTTTCAATGCGGTCAGCAAGACTGCTCCGAAAATGTCGTTTGCGAGTAAATTTTTTTATTTTGTATGTGTATTTGTATTTATTGATTCTAGATCTACAATAACATACGATACTGAGTATAATATATACACCATTGTATCCTTTAGATGTGTATGTACACACGTACACCTCTACACAGGTCGGATTCTGTAAAATATAATAAATAAAACAATTGAATTATTAAAACTTCCGTGGAAGTGACAGCGATTGAGATGTTTATATATATGACAGAATAATCGAAATCTTAAATTTCACATTTTTATAAATTTTATCCCCAAATTACACTGTTGCTTTATTTAATGTTGTAATGAACGATTATCGCTGACACTAAATTTAAAAAATGTCTAAACAGAAGTAATTTTAAAAAATATTATCCAATGGTATCTACAAATCCATCAAAATTTTTTCAAGTGGAATTTCGAGCGGCAATCAAATCGTTTACCAGTTATACAAGGAATTCAAAATAACCCACAAAAAAGTTCTAGAAATTTATTTTACCGACTCACGACATATAGTATACATACACCTATATGATATCGATCGAATGAAATTTAGTTCTCGCTGTGGACAAGGGCAACGTCCTTTCATACAGACAGTGTTCACTGTCGGCTTGGTTTTTTTTTATTGACAGAGAGTTCACAACAACTCAGCATACTTTTATCTCCGGATGAACAATTGGATCATTGTTTTGCCGAGAAACAATGGAGGAAATTGATAGTCCCAGATCTTGCTAGACATGCAAGCACCCAATTCTCAAAAGTAAACTTACGCTAAAAAAAATATTGTTGTTGCTTGTAGGTTAGGCGTCGATACACGAGTGGCTTGCTTTCAAAATTTGTTTAACTTGTTGTATCGCTAGATATTGTGAGTAGAATCAGAAAAGAATTAATTTTCTATAACTAGTGCGTGATATAAATGACACAAATAGTAATTATTCATTTCAAAACATTATTACTGAAGTTACTTCGTTTTCATGTGTAGAACAATGGCACACCACAGTGGACCTCCAAAAAGAAAAGAAATCTATAAGTATGAAGCACCATGGTCTCTATACAGCATGAATTGGTCTGTGAGGCCAGATAAAAGGTTTCGACTTGCTCTGGGCAGCTTTGTTGAAGAGTACAATAACAAAGTGCAAATTGTATCGCTCGATGAGGATACTTCTGAGTTTGTAGCAAGAAGTACCTTCGATCATCCATATCCTACCACAAAAATTATGTGGATTCCTGATAGTAAAGGTCATTATTGAAGATTTAAATACATATATCCTTTACTCTGGTTGCATTAAAGAAATTTTGTATTTTTGTAAATTATCCATAATGTTTATAATTCATGGATTAATTGACATTTTTTGTAAACAGGACTATTTCCTGATCTCTTGGCTACCTCTGGTGACTATCTAAGAGTATGGAGAGCAGGTGAACCGGAAACACGGATGGAATGTGTACTAAACAATAATAAAAACTCAGATTTCTGTGCACCTCTCACTTCCTTTGATTGGAATGAGGTGGATCCAAATTTGGTAGGAACATCGAGTATCGACACAACTTGTACTATTTGGGGTCTTGAGACAGGTCAAGTAATTGGTCGAGTGAATCTTGTTTCAGGACACGTGAAAACACAGGTAACGAATATTAATTCAATTTATTTTTGTCTTTCCGCAAAGTTAAATTGATATATTTAAAATGATAACATTTGCAGCTTATCGCGCACGACAAAGAAGTTTACGACATAGCATTCAGCCGAGCGGGCGGTGGTCGAGATATGTTCGCGTCTGTGGGTGCCGATGGTTCGGTACGCATGTTCGATTTGCGTCACCTTGAGCACTCCACTATCATTTATGAAGACCCTCAGCATACCCCACTTCTCAGGCTCGCCTGGAACAAGCAGGATCCAAATTATTTGGCCACTGTTGCCATGGATGCTTGTGAGGTTATCATCTTAGATGTTAGGGTGCCTTGTACACCTGTTGCTAGGTTAAATAATCACAGGTGAGTTGAATTTATCGCTCTGATGGTTAGAATTGTACTTGAAAATTCCAATAACTGTTCTTTACAGAGCAAGTGTTAACGGAATAGCATGGGCGCCACACTCTTCGTGTCATATTTGCACAGCTGGCGACGATCATCAAGCGTTAATATGGGATATTCAACAAATGCCGCGAGCAATTGAGGATCCGATTTTAGCCTACACGGCTGCTGAAGGCGAAGTTAATCAAATACAGTGGGGTGCGACTCAACCCGATTGGATCGCTATTTGTTACAACAAAGCCGCGGAGATTCTTCGAGTGTAAATGTTGTTTTTCCTTCCGCGATGAAAAAATTTACTGGCTGAGTAAGCGCGACGAGAAGAATATATATTGGCTTCGAATTTATTTTAATACATTGCGATTGACAATAATATCAAATTTTTTAACGGCAAGGAGGGATAAAAGGAAAAAAAAAGATTTTTTACTTTTTAAACACTCAGCCAGTAATTGTTCAATCATACAGGGTTTCCTGTATAATAATCTCTTGATTTTTTATCAAAGATTACTCGAATATATTTATCTTCGTTTATCTCCGAAGGAATTTCGAAGTCTATAGCCGTGCTTCTATTTTATTTTTTGTTACAAAAAGCGACTCGAATGCTTGTTCAATATAAACCGACGTACAGAAGTTAAGATATTCTGTTGGTAAGACATATCCTTCCGATTTTATATGAACGTTTCTTTTCTGATCCGAACAGTGTAGCTAAAAATGAAACAGTAGAGGATAATTGTACTAGTGTCGATATAACTGAAGTGATTTTTTTTTGTTTTATAAAAAAAAAATTGAGCGATGTAAGATTTATGATTGTTATTAATCTAGCATGTAGTACTTCTCACTTTTAGCATGTAGTTAAAAAAAATAGTATGTAACTCTTGACGATGTATTACGAATGCGTTGTACAGCTTGCACGAGTTATACGTATAAAATATATAGTATTTTAAGTGTTCGTACACAAAATATGTATATTCCAATAAGAGATAGTAAGAAAAAAAAACATCCATGTACTAGCCACAAACATAAACTTTTTATTAAGAATAATTATGTAACCAGTCGTAATACAATTTTTTTATGAACGTCCAAGGCGTACAAAAAGTTCTCTTTCTTTTTTTTTTTCTTATTGATCCATACATTTATTCATATATGCCATAGAAACATTGGTTCGAAGCAAGTGTAGTTGAGCATTTAATCGGGGCAATATCGAGAGTTGCGAAAAGCGTATATACTTAAATTGAGACACATTCGATCCGAGAGTATAATTTCGATATTCCCCCGAAAGACCACAAGCGCGGTTATAGGTATATACTTAAATAAGTTTAGATACAATCGCCGTTCGTATATATAATTTACATAATCTCAATGAACGATTTATGGAATTATTCACAACAATGAGATAATGTCATGCAACATAAATTATGAGACAAAAGAAAACAACGTTGTTGGGTTTACGGGTTTCGTTGTGTATTTCGTATAACAGGAAAAAGGTATTCATTTACCGGCGATTACGTTTAGGTTGCATTATTTTCGATTATTAATCGCGGGCTAACACTCTGATACAGAGTGCGCGTATGGAACACACTGAAAAATAGTAGACTACACGACAAGTATCAGCGCGACTTGGCAACGTATAATTATGACAAGCGAAATTCAAGTTTATCTCGTAACTCTAAGTGTTTCGCGAAATTTAATCTCCGCCTTTGCTGCAAACGAAGCGGAAGTAAAAAAAAAAAAAGAAAACAAAACAAAAGAAAAACAAAAAAAAACAAAAACTCGAATCTCTCAGCAAAGCGTTCTATATTCCATTGCTGTGTTCAATCTCGCGGACGAGAGAGAGAGAGAGAGAGAGAAAGGGAAAGAGAAAAACGCGTGGTCCCGCAGCGTTGAAGAAAACACGATCTGTCCCCAGCGAAGTCGTTAGGGATGGACCTGCCGTTTCGACGACGCGACAGAATTTTCCACTCCTCGCGAAAATGTATCGACGCCGGAGATCGGCAAAGGAAAAAAAAAGAAAAGGGGGAAAAAAATAATAAAATCGCACACGCACACACAAAACAAAACAAAATGAATTTGGAGGGAAGAAAAAGGAAAAAAAAAAAAGAACTCGTTCCTCATAGGTATGCGCATTTTCGCGCACGCGCCCGAGAGCGAGAGCACGATAAGATCTGCCACGACGGAAATCGGCTCGTGTATTTTCGCGCGTAGGCACAGGCGCGTTCGTCGGCTCGTAAATCGCAGCTACGCGCGTACGTACGTATGTGTATGTAATTTGTAATGTCAACGCGAACTCTCGCGCTAGGATCGCGCGCGGGCGAACCGCCGGGACGCGCGCGCGCTTCGAGTGCATCTATTTACAAGGGGTCCTCTCGAGGTGCGGCGCGCGAGAGTCGCGGTCCAGGGGGTGGGGTCGCGGCCTAGAGCACGCAGAGCTTGCCGGCGACGTGGTGCAGGTGGAGCACCGTGCAGGCCATCGTGAGCATGTTGCCCATGGCGATGGCCACGTGGATGCGCCGGAAGGTCTGGTGGATGCTCAGGTAGTGCGGGCAGTGCTTGAGCGGGCCGGGCTCGTGCGTGCCGACCTCGGCGCCCACGCCGGCCGCGCGCTCGATGCTCGTCTTCTGGTCGATGAGCCGCAGCAGCGGCGGCGTCAGGTACAGGCGGATCAGCAGCTCGAGGAAGAAGGCGCCGCCCATGCCCGCCACCTGCGTGGCGATCTCGGCGTCCCAGCTGGCCGTCGGGTGGTGCTTCACGTAGATGAGCAAGGTGGTGAGGCTGAGGCAGGCGTTGAGGGTGAAGTAGCGCGGAAACAGCACTCGCTGCACCTCGCCGAACGTGTGGCGCGGCAGGGCGAAATACAAGGATAAACCTGCAACAGCGAGGGAGCCTTAGGTGGTGTCCCGGCGGCGCGGTCGCGCATCCGCCTCCTTACCGGAAACGAAGGTCATCCAGACCTGCGAGCCGATGTGCATGACGAAGGAGGCCAGGTAGACGAAGGAGGCGAGGCCCGAGCGCTGGCCGGCCGGCGACGCCGCGCTCGACGCCGAGTTGGGCAGCAGGGCCGAGGTGACGCACAGCGCCGCCGCGATCGTGATCACGTGCGCCGGCTGCGTCGTGCAGAACAGAACTCTGGAAAAGCAGTGCAACGAGTGTGACAAGTCCGCGCTTGGCCTCTTATCTCTCGCCCCGACCGCTCCTAGCGCGTCGCAACGCCGCGGGCCGCCTGAATATTCATGGCGCGCGAACCGCCTCCCTTGCCGCGCTTTCTCTCCGCGATTTTTCCCCTCTTCTTCTTGTCTTTTTGTCTTTCGCACGCTCGACGGGCGAATGATCGCGAGCGTGCAATTACGCCTCGCGTCAAGCCGGCCGACGCGCGGCTTTCCCCGGCGAGCGAGCGCCCACATGCAAATGTCCCGCGGGAGCGCGCGCGTTACCGAAACGACTGGTTTACGCGCGGCCCTTTCTTTTTTCTCACTTTCGTTCCTGCCTCTCTCGTGCGCCCGAGCCAAGGAGAATTCGACGCGCGGTGGAGGAGCTCGCTCTCTTTTTGTCTTCTCCCCCGCGACGACGGCTGCGGCCTGCGGACATTTGCCTCGGCCGCGCGACTCTTTCGCACCCTCGTAGCGAGATTCGTGCGTGTGCGTTCCAGCGGATGGACGGAGAGAGGGGAGGTGGGCGCACGGCAGCTCGCTCTGCTTCCATTTCCATCCAAGCGGCGTGTGTCGTTAGCCTGAATTTTTCGAGCGCGGCTAATTCGATTAGCGAACGCTCCGACGAGCGCTTACATGCATCTCGTTTCGTTTTTTTTTATCGGGGCGAAATTAAACGAGCTTCTGCGCGGTAACCGCTCTCTGGTGGGGGGGGGAGGGTGGGGGGCAGAGGCGTGGCTGTTTTGGCGGTGCGAGCGTTCCGAATCGCCCGGGGGCGCGCGCGAGACTTTCGGTCGAGGGAGAGAGCAGTGGCGATTATTCGGCAGCGCGGTGGTCGATACAAAGGCAGCGCGCGAGCGAGAGGCCCAAAGAGAGAAACTCAACGATTCAATTGAAAGCCGCGGCCCCGACGCATCCCACGCGCGGCTCGTTAATGCGTATAGCGCCGCGCTCGTTAATCCGCTCGTGATAAATCTCTCCTCGTTCGGAGAGCGGGCCGCCTTTCGCCCAAACGGACCCCGAGGGCATGGAATTTTTTTTTTCTTCTTTTTTTTTTCTTTTCGATTATAGAGGCGTGCGCTTCGAAGCAAGCGCGTACGCCGAACTCGCCGTGGAGATTCGCTCGCGACAAGGGGGGCCTTCGGGCGACGCGCAAAACGAGCATACATGTCCGCCAACGCTCGCGTGAAATAATCGTGCGTCGTTGATTTTCCGTTCTCTTTCCCTTTTGTTCCGCGAGGAAAGTCGAGTCGTAATCGCACTGACGGAGACGAGCCGACCGCGGGAAGCTCGGGACCAGGCGCGAAATCGTCGAACATCTCTCCGGCGACCAACGGCAGACTCGCGCCGAGCAAGCGAGTCGAGAAAGGCGACGAGCGACCGGCGAGCTTGGCGTACGCGTACAGTCCAGCGGCGCACGCTTTTATTGCATCCGCGCCAACCGCCGAGCGAAACGACGGGGATGAGAGGAAGGCAGCGAGCGAGGCCGCAGAGGCACGTCGGCGCTAATTCGGGAGCGGCGCCTCGTTTGATGTGCGCGCCGGCACGACGCTTCCGTGCCGCGCGGAGGCGCCTCCGCGGCGTGGCGCGCTCGCCGACCGCATCGGCGATCCGGCGACCGCGGGTCGAGGATCGCCGCGGGGTCGCGCGCGGCCTTGGGCGCGAGCGCGCATACCAGTGGCGTTTAGCGGTGGTTAGGAGGCGACGCGAGCGCGCCGCCGCCGCCGCCGCGCTCGCGTCGGCATTCCGCCGAGCGGAAGCGACGCGATCGCGCGGCCCGCGTCGCGGCGCGTCCGTCAGGTGGCCGCGACGTCACGATCGCGCTGCAAGGTCAAGGCGGCATATGCAGTTTGGCGAGCGCGCGAACGTGCGGAACGGCACGTCCGAGCCGTCGTCATGGAATTTTTCCCCCCGCTGCAGCGCCGCGGTCGCCTTTTCCTCTGGCTTTGGTCGCGCGAGAAACGAGGATGTTACCTTGGAGAATCCCGCAGATAGCGCGAGAAGTAAAAAACTAAAACGCGTTCTCCTTCGCCGTGGCCTCTTTTGCTCGTCGATCCACGGGATTACCCAATCGGATAGTCATTCGGAAAGCAAATAAAACGAGACGAGCAATAAAAGAAAAA